AGAGAGAGAGAGAGAGAGAGAGAGAGAGAGAGAGAGAGAGAGAGAGAGAGAATTAAATGGTACCTAGTGATTTTATGGTAGCCCTGAGTGTTCAAATAAGAGGGTCTCTAATTCTTGTTCCTTCTGTTGGACTCTTCTTTCTGTTGATTTATTTTGTCCATTTAAAATGTTTTAGGTTTTGTGTTATCCTATTGTATTATATTATTAAAATATACTACATTATATTATATTAATCATTATTGTTTAGAAGCTTGTGTGTTTTCCAATGAGAGACAGAAACAGGGTGTATCTCGATGTGAATGGAGGTGAGGAGGAGGAACTGTCAGGATGAAGGGAAAAAATCTTAAACCATGTTATATAAGAAAAGTGTATTTTTAATTAAATTTTTAAAAAGCATGTGTTCTTCCTTAGGACATGGAGACATTGATATTTCTGCTTGTATTCCTTGGCTTTTCTTGATTTTTGTGGAAATAAAATGAATTATTCCTTAATTATTCCATGACAAATTAACAAATCAGGCTGTGTGTACTTTAATTAAGAGACAAGTGCCCTTTTCCCTATAAGCTATCATGACTCTGTTCATAAAATAATCAAGAAGGCTGGGCAGTGGTGGCGCATCCTGGGCTACCAAGTGAGTTCCAGGAAAGGCACAAAGCTACACAGAGAAACTCTGTCTCGAAAAACCAAAATAATAATAATAATAATAATAATAATAATAATAATGAAGACAAAGAGAATCACAAATAAACTGAATTGTCATAATATTTTTAGGTATAGAAGTAAGTCCAGTAAATAAAGGAACCCATGTCTGAATCATGAAGAAGCATTAATGGGCAAAGAGCAAATATATTTTAAGGTATCTTAAGGAAGCCACATTGTATATTATTAGGGACAATATTAGAACAAGCTTTAGAATAAGTCAGAATTGCATGTTCAATTGACCCTCAAATTGTACTTGATACTCAAGATTCTGAATCCATATTAAGTAAGAGACCATATTAGCTAAGAGACTGAAAAAAATTTCTAAAATATATAGATATGGTTTCTTTGGATTTACAATGTAAATGTGAAAGCAAGTTAAAGATTTCAGAGGAAGCACCAGACTCACAGAGAGATACCTATGTGTTATGAGGACAAAAGTCTCCCTGCTTTAAAAACTGGGTTGTGTTATGGTAGCAAAGAAAAGTTGCCAAGAATTATTTGCATTTCTTAAATATTGTTTAACTTTAATGGTTAAAACTGAGGATAATTGTAATTGGATCCTGAGTCCAAGTCAACAGAAGTTTTGAATAGTTTTCACAATGTTTCTTAGTTCATCTCAAACACTATTTAACACAATCCCCTGTGGACATTTCATAAGGTCTAAAGACTATTATAGATATCTGTGATCCTAGGTACTAGCTGTTTCTGCCTCAGCTAAACGATACACACACACACACATACACACACACACACACACACACACACACACACACACAGAGAGAGAGAGAGAGAGAGAGA